TCCGCCTTTTTAGTAACCAAAACCGTCATCGCCAAACACACTGCGAGGATGATATTCACAGCTCCCCAAAGCCTTTTGGCTCCTCCCATCTTCCTACTAATCCCTTCTATACCGAGCGACATGAATCCAAGAACGATAGAGTTAAGCATTAATCCCAACGAACCAACTTGAATTCCTTGGTTGTATAGTTTCTTCATTTTGTCATCTCCTTTTGAGTCTCCACCGTACACTTCACGACCCACCCAATCTGTATCGTATAAAAGAAAAGGGAACCACGCGATCCAGTTCAAGGCTGTGACGATTAGTAGCATCCACATTGGACGTTTCATCACCTTGAAAGCTCCAAAGATCTCGCCGAAGAACGGAGTTTTATCGTTCTCAGAGTCTGCCTTTGGCGACCATTGCTTGTCTTCCACGTACCAAAGAGCTATGATGGTGACGACTAGAAATAGAGTGATGGAACAGCTCTTGAGATTTGCGCAATAGATGTCGCATGCTTTAGTTACGGTGAAAGGGAAGATCTTGTGGAGGTTAGTATACGATCCCGCAGCGTATCCCAAAACGTTTCCAACGGCCATGAAAAAAGAGAAAATTGCGTTTGCTGTTCGCGTTTTCTTAGCGTCTCCAGCTGCTAAATCACCAAGAAAAGCGCGACAAGGTCCTTGAAGAGTGTTATTAGCCACGTCAAGGATCCAGAAACCGACAACGAAGAAACCAACGGCTCGCATCTTGACAGCTTCGTCGAGTTTGTCTCCCATGGTGTGGCCGAAATCAGCCGCGAATCCGATTAGTATAACAGCAAGGGCGACAAGCAAGGCACCCGTGGCGATGAAAGGACGACGACGACCGAATCTTGACTTGCATCTGTCGCTGAAGTAACCAACGGATGGCTGGACAAGCAGGCCGGAGATAGGACCACAGAGCCATATGAAAGATGACCATTTATGTGGGACTCCGAGAAGCTGAACGTATGGAGTTAGGAGAGATAGCTGAAGAGCCCAACCAAACTGAATACCGGCGGCAATAGAAGCCACCGATATCATCTTTCTCAGCGGAGATGGCCCATCAAGATCCATCGACGACGAGGAAGACTGTCTATCCACAGCCGCCACATCTTTTTTTGCTTGGAGGTCACTCATCTTCTTCACCTTGTCTTAGAAGTTGTTTATGGTGTTGGTGAAGAAGAGGAATGAGATTTATATTTCTGTAGTATTGCTTCTGTGTTTCAATAGATTGGGAAAATAAATCTTTTATAGTAAGGCTTTAACACATATATCCTTATAGGATTGGTGTAATAGTGTAATGACAATACTTACGTTAATATAACCAAATCAGTTTATTATCTTATCCTTATATCATTTATTTTGAGATTGTGACAGATTTTTTAATTTCTTGTTTCTGTAATATGACTTTTATAAATGATTAATTGAATAAGAATAGATTGTAAATGATTTTAAATGATTGTAAACAAATTTCATGTTCAATAACATAGTATTTAGAAAGATATTTAATTAAAAATCATTAGTCGAATAACATGAGATTTAAAAAAATAACTAAAATGAATTATTGGTTGTTGCTGTAGAGTCTTCCCACAGCCCAAAATATGTCTACAGCGTTAAGACTCATCCGATCTTGCTTTAGACAGTATTACAAAAGCTACAGGTTACAGCACAAATATAACAATTAACAAAATCAAAAAATTTTGGCTGTACGTATCCAAATTTCCACAACACAAAAAAAGGCTGTGAATTTTTTTCTCTCTTTCTTCTCTTTCTAATTTTTTCATTATATTTCTTTTTGACACAATTCTTTTGCAGTTTCCACTAAAAAAAAGAAATTATAGAAAGTGCACTTTGCTCTTTGCACTTTGAATAACAAAAGATTGTAAAAATAGATTAATTCTAGTTTTTATAGTTTGTATTTATTTATTGCGATAATGAGCCCTCTCATCTCTATACATGTCTTTGTCTTTTTCTTTTGAGACAGTTGGGTGAGAAACGTTAGATTTTATTTTTTATACTAATAAAATTTTTGGTATTATGTCAAATAGTTTAAGACATTGAAAATAATAAGCCCACTTTTTTTTTTTCTATTTTAACCCCACCCACGCACATATGTTTGACATTTAAAGGTCTATTTTTTTCTCATGTTCATCTCTCTCTCAACTCTGTTCTAATTCATTCAAATCGATAAGAAAAACAACGTCATATTTATTATTCACACAGCCATTGTTTATTCATCGGAAAAGATAACTTTCACGATACAAATAAGGATCTAAAATATTTTTTGGATCTTCACAAATAGATCTACAAAGTATATATGCAGATCTCATGTTCATCTCTCTCTCAACTCTGTTCTAATTCATTCAAACCGATAAAAAAAACATCGTCGTGTTTATTATTCACACCGTCATTGTTTATTCATCGGAAAAGATAACTTTCATGATACAAATAAGGATCTAAAATATATTTTGGATCTTCACAAATAGATCTACAAAGTATAGATGCAGATCTAAGGATATTTGTGGAGATGAGTCAGGATTTTGATAAATAAAATATAATATCAAAACAAGAAATTTAAGAGTGAAAAGGAAGAAGACGATGGAGCATAGCCTATGCATGAAATCAATCGAAGCATCAAAGCATGCTTTTTTCTTGAGAAAAAAAAATCGAATTTCATCAAAAATTCTCATATACATATTAATTCATTAATATGTATTTATAAATTTAGATAGATGTTCATATACTTTCATAGAGTCATATATCGAACTATAAGTGATATATTTTTCAATAGATATCTACGCGATTAAGTTAGTGGTTTAAATTTTATAATTTTCGTCCATATGTTTTTGTTATAGATTTAAATTAAAACTTAATAACTGTCACTTCGTTCTATCTGTTGTCGCGTGAAGTTCAGTTCAACTGTTGAGCATTTATTAACAAAACTTAAACCGACCCAAACCAAACCCAAACTTAGATTCAACCCATTCGTTTATGTTTTTTCTTAACCCAAATGGGTCCGTTCAGTTTGGTTTAAAACCGAACCAAACAGTGTTTAATTAATTAATTAACTAATTATATTAATAATATAATAAATAACTAAATATGTAATTCTTTTCATGATTTATTTGAATTATTCAATCTAATCTTACAATTTGAACTTGTTGCTTACTTTAATAAATTATCAAATTCAAAGTTTAAACGAAAATGAACTAAAAAATTTTGTTTTGTTACATTAATTGATTTTTTGAACCGAACTAAAACCAAACCTAACTAAAACCAAATTGAACCGAACATAAACTGACCCAAACACAAACCAAACCAAACTAAATTTGGTTGAGTTTGGTTAGAATTTTATGAGACCCGAATAAACCGATTCGAACCGAACCCAAACCAAATCCGAAATTACACCAAAATGCTCACCAAGAATTGAATATACAAAAATTTCTCATAATGTTTCTTGAGGATTCTTGTAAGGCACTGAATTTGAGTGTGTTTTATTTTTTTCAAATTTAATTAACTATTATATTGTTTTGGTTAATTAATCCAAATTTTGTGAAAAATTCTTTTATGTAATTATGTTACTATTTTATCAAAACATGAAGTAAAGAGTATATAGAGTATAAATTTTGTAGCAATAACATGTGTTTTAAGATTTCAAGTAAATATCGTATTCGTTTTATTAAATAAATTTTTTTGATTTAATTTGTAAATAATATAAAATACATATGTAAAAATGGTATATATATATATATATATATGATGATATATACTATCACGACAAATTAGTCAAAAATGGTGTGAGTATCTTTTCATATACTAAATAAAGGAAACTAATCATAATCAACTTATGATTAGTTAATTATGAAAAGATGACATGAAAATGACCGTCACGGATAGTGACTTTACCCTCTTCTCTCTTTTTCGTTAGCAAGTAATAACAAAAAAAAACATTTTATTGATTTGATTGAAGATGACAGTTTTTTCCCACTTTTGATTGGCTCTGACAATAAAGTCAATAATAGGTGCTACACGTGACCTACCCAAAAGGACACTAACCATCTAATTAATCTTTGATTAGTTTAATTATAAAAAATCATGGCTCTTTTAGAGACATATCCCGAAAATAATAACATTGGTTATGGAGTGATTATGTGACTTTGTCAACATGGTCTAAAATGTATGTATGTAACTGTTTAATTTAATTTAATTCTACTAAATTGCTGAATATGATGAAACTAAATTTATGATTTCACTTAAAATCTGACTGAACAATTTAAAATTTAAATGACAACAATCAAATTTTGTGAATTTTTTTAAAGAAAATTAAACAAATAAATTCTTAACAATATTAACTAAATAATTTTCTTTTTGTCAAAAGTCGTAGTTAAATAAACATGTATGAAATAATTAGTTAGACTTGAAATAATTAATTAGACTTGTATCAAACAGAATTATCATTAAATGCAGGATTATCCTCTCTTTTTTTCTGACAAAACGTAGGATTATCCATTCGTGTTATCTTCATATGTTAGGGATAATTTGGTTTGTATTAAGATAATTCTAGTTTAGTAGTTTTTATACTTTGACACTAGACCCTCTCATCTCTCTACGTGTCTTTGTCTTTTTCTATCTCTTATCTCTTTCCCTTGATCTTGGCGGCTTGGCCCATGTCAAGTCAAGGCATTAAAAAAACAACATAAGACATTTATGGAAGAAATTAAAAACATGGATTTATATTAGAATGAACAGCTTTCAATTAAAAAATTATGAATACCGAAAGTGAAAGATTATATTATATGCATGACCTAAGTGGGAAAGTATCCGGAGAAAAAAAGAGAATTGTTGAATAAGTTTAAGATTGTATTTGGTGATTTAAAAACCTTTAAGAGTTAGAGAACTTTCAAAGATAGAAGTTTCCACATTATAATCTTAAAAAATTGGTGTTCACTAGAGAAAATTTTTCTATATATAGCATCAAGAAGCAAACAAGATTCTTCAACCTAAAACCAAAAAATGTTTTTCAACATCGATCACAAGGCTGTGGCTGCACTCCTTCATGGCCAAGGATGCGCTAACATCCTCAAGACGGTTCTCGACAACCGTGAAATAAGCTCGGTTTCAACAGAACCGCTCATCAACACCATCCTTAATTCTTTCTCAGTAGCTCTATCTTTTGTGAATTCTCCTAATCCTCAACCAGACCATCAGTCTTTTTCTCAAAACATGGCAGGTCTTGTGCCGCGGAGATCATCAAAGAAGTAAGTTACCAAACAAAAGCTAAACACTCGGTGAATTTGTTATAAACAAAGTTCATGAGTTTCTATTACAACATCACAGGAAGATTTGCGGGATAAAAGGTTTAGGGAATTATAGAGATGATTTCCAAACTCCGCGCCCTGACGGCTTCACCTGGAGGAAATATGGAGAAAAGACCATCAAAACCTCTACGCACCAAAGGTTAGTTAATTTAGGTTGGTTAGAAAAACAGAGCAAATGGCATGTCCATAAAAAAAAAACAGATTCTCTGTTCTATAAAGACATGTAAATATATACAAGTAGCCGTGTTTATTAACTATATAGTGACAAATTAAAGTATTATATTTATAGGTCATACTATCGGTGTGCCTATGCAAAAGACCGAAACTGCAATGCTACAAAGAGGCTGCAGATGATCCAAGACAGTCCTCCAGTATACAGAACGACTTATCTGGGACAACATACATGTAAAGCTTTTACAGTTCAGGCTGATACATACGGTCCTGAAATGATACAATTTGACCAAGTTGTGTCCGAATCGGTTACGCCTCAACTGGCAACAATTGACCAACAAGCAATTGTCATTGAGGACAAAGCCACAGATCATACCACGAACCAAGAATGTCATATCAGCGACTTTTTAGTTGATTATGACGAACTTTGGCTGAATGAGATTCCCCCATTTTCATCGGGAGACCTTTCATTTGACAACAACATTGTTGCTTTTAATTAGAACCCTTTCCAGTTTTAAACAATAAAGCTATCAAGCTTTTTATGTAATTATGGTGGAGAATTCAAGCTCATGTTTTGTAATTTAGATTCATATGCGTCTACCTTCTTTTGCTTTAAATGTCTCTTTTTTTGGTGTAAAAGGAATTTTTGTTAATGATGTATTTTTTGCGGTTTTTTTAAAATAAAAGAAAAGATTTAATTGGTGACACTAGTTTGAAGAATTGTTGAGGAAATGTTGTGGAATTTTAGTCACATCACTTGGTTACATAATATTTTAAAACTTGTAATGTTTTCATCATTATTAAGTTTTTTATAAAATTATAAATACTTTTATATTATAAATCAAAATTTCACAAAACATTTTTTATCAGTTTGCATGATAATTATATATCAAGAATCACTTAAATTTTCTTACGAAATAAAAGACATAAATATTGATGAAATTGGTTAGGTTCGTGAAAACAATTATCAAGTGAACAATCCTATTTTTTATGATATTTCCTAGTAGAAGGTATTAGTATAAATTTATTAACTAAAGAATATAAATAATTTGGGTTATTTAAAAAAAGTAAAATATAAATATTAATTTTAATATTTTAAGGTGTTATATCATAATTTTGTTTGATAAAACTATTTTAATATATTAACTTAAGATTCTACCAAAATTTAATTTTTATGAGTTAAATTTTATTTTTTCTGAATTACGTTCTTATCTTAATAAGATTATTTTTATTTGTTTAATTCATTAATATTGTTGACAAAAAATGTTTTCAGTGAAGTATTTTCATAATTTTATATATTTAATTAATTTCAAAAAGTCAGCCAGATACAGTGGTTACAATTTAAATTCTAAATTATTCAGCTAGATTCGACAAAAAATACAAATAAAATCAGCAAATCAGCAAGATTCAACAGTTACCATTTATACGTAATATCTATAAAGAAAAATTAGTTAAAAGTATTTATACAATTTTGACTGCCCTTGATTGGCCATATTTTGATTGCAATAGATCCTGCCTTTTTCATTTTTCTTATTTTTCCCATGCACGAGAAATTGGAATTTTATCTTTTCTCTTTTAAAATTTATCAGTTAGATCTGCATAAAAGATTCATTTTCCTACCTTTTTCGGTGGTTTGGTCATCTTTTGTCCTCGAGTGAAAAACCATGCTGGGAAAAGAAGAATATAACATACAATGTGACGTACGAAGAATATGACGTAAAAGAAGCAAATTAAACATGTATTTTTATTTTCTTTAGTCAACATCAAACATGTGTGTAAATCTCATACTTTATTTGAAAGAACACAAAAAACATGAAGAAGATTTATTTAAAGAAATTTTCACGTTTGTGTTAAAAAAAAAATTTAGTCTCATAGTTTGGCAAAATGAGATTTCTTTCTCATGAATTGACACTTAAGGCATTTTGGGACGAAAATACCCCTAATGAGTTAAACCAAACGGAACAGTTTCTTTGCGGTTTAGTTATTTTTGATTGGTTTTGCGGTTTACTTGCTATTAACCCTTTGAAAAAGTCTGATGAGCCAAAACGTGAAACCACAAACTCACTTCACACCTACGTTGCAAGGAATCGCCGGAGAAGTGTCGATTCCCGCTCCGGAATCGGAAACGGGAGCAGAATCGCTCGGAATCAGTCAGAATCGGCTTGGAATCGCGATTTCTTAAATGAGTTTTTTGGAATCGTGCTGGAATTGTAAGATTCTGAGTGGGAAGCGTCGGGGATAGATTGGAAGCGTTGCTTGCCTTACCAATATTCAAAAAAAAAAAAGGAAAAAAATACAGAGGGAAGAGACGGCGATTAGGGCTTCTAGAGGAAGAAGATGACTCCTCAAGGAAATTACACATTTACCCTTTCTTCTTTTAAGTAAAAAAAATAATTTTGGAAGATGCCAAGGTCGAACACTTGACCAGAGAGAATATTAAAACTGTCCATGCCACTACACTACAACAAGACTTGGTATAACTGTCGATTGTAACGTTATATAAGCCTAATTTTATAAAACCCCATAGAATTTCTTCTTTGCTATTTATGTCTAATTTTTATCAAACAACTAAAAGAAGATTCAGGCCCAAAAGGAAAAGAGAAGCCCACGAAGCCCAACTCTGCAACTCTGCAACAATCACGCGCGCCCTTACCGCTTCTATCGCCGCCAACAAACATAAGCGTGCATAATCGCTTTGATGTTCTTGGAATTCCTCACCAGAAACACCATCCACATCCCCGAGCGTGGAAGATGTTGTTTTTCCTCTTCCAAATGTCTCCAGCAGCTCCACACCAAACACTGCCACTCCTGGTTTGGTCTTTTCAGATGATACTGCTCCTTTTAGTCCGATCACGTCTACATCGACTCCCACTCAGCCTGAGATTTTAACGTCTGATCTCGATCACTGCCCTCCTGACTCTGAACCGGCAGTCACCAACGATGTCACTCCGCAAATCACAGACAACTCTCTGTTTACCGATTCTGATTTTACGCCTCTGCAATCTGCGGTCTCCTCTCCTCCTACTACAACAGATACCTCTCATCCCATGATTACTCGCGCTAAAGCAGGCATCACCAAGCCTAATCCAAAGTATGCTCTATTTTCTGTCAAATCTAACTATCCTGAGCCTAAATCCGTCAAAGCTGCTCTCAAAGATGAAGGCTGGACAAACGCAATGGGAGAAGAAATGGAAACGATGCACGAAACTAATACATGGGACTTAGTCCCACCGGAAATGGCTGATCGTCCTCTTGGATGTAAGTGGGTGTTTAAAACGAAACTGAATTCTGATGGGAGTTTAGACCGATTGAAAGCTCGCCTTGTTGCAAGGGGATATGAGCAAGAAGAAGGAGTGGATTATGTTGAGACATACAGCCCCGTTGTCAGAACTGCCACGGTTCGATCTATTCTTCATGTCGCTACAATTAACAAATGGTCCCTTAAGCAACTCGATGTGAAAAATGCTTTTCTTCATGGGGAATTGAAAGAAACTGTGTTTATGACCCAACCACCCGGCTTTGAAGATCCCTCTCGACCTGACTACGTTTGCAAACTCAAGAAAGCAATTTATGGTTTAAAACAAGCGCCTCGGGCTTGGTTTGACAAATTCAGCTCTTATCTTATGCAGTTTGGATTTATCTGCAGCTTTTCGGATCCTTCTCTCTTTGTTTATCTTAAGGACAACGACGTTATGTTCTTGTTGCTTTATGTTGATGATATGATATTAACTGGTAACAATGCTGCTCTCCTTCAACAGTTATTGACCACTCTCAGTACAGAATTTCGAATGAAGGACATGGGAGCTTTGCATTACTTCTTGGGGATTCAGGCGCACTAACACAATGATGGTCTTTTCCTTAGTCAGGAAAAGTACGCTTCTGATTTATTGATCAATGCGGGCATGTCAGAGTGCTCACCCATGCCGACACCTCTTCCTCTTCAGCTTGATCAGTTACCAGGTAACAACGAACCTTTTCCTGAACCCACCTATTTCAGAAGCTTGGCAGGCAAACTCCAATATCTCACTCTCACCAGACCTGACATCCAGTTCGCGGTTAATTTTGTTTGCCAAAAGATGCACTCTCCTTCCATGTCTGATTTTCATTTACTCAAAAGAATCTTGCGGTATCTTAAAGGTACAATGACAATGGGCATTAATCTATCTTCAAACACAGATTCTGTTCTTCGTTGCTACAGTGATAGTGATTGGGCTGGCTGCAAGGACACACGACGATCTACCGGAGGTTTCTGCACATTCCTCGGCTCCAACATTGTCTCGTGGTCTGCTAAACGTCATCCCACCGTCTCCAAATCCTCCACCGAAGCTGAATACCGGACATTGTCTTTTGCAGCATCTGAAGTTGCATGGATTGGAGCCTTGCTCCAAGAAATTGGTCTTCCCCAACATCAAATCCCTGAGATGTACTGTGACAACCTCTCAGCCGTCTACCTCTCTGCTAATCCCGCTCTTCACTCTCGTTCCAAACACTTTCAGGTGGACTACCATTATGTCCGTGAAAGAGTGGCTTTAGGCGCTCTCACTGTCAAACACATTCCAGCCTCCCATCAACTTGCTGACATTTTCACTAAGTCTCTTCCTCAAGCACCATTCTTCGATCTTCGGTTCAAACTTGGTGTCGTCTTGCCGCCGAACACAAGTTTGAGGGGGTGTATCAAACAACTAAAAGAAGATTCAGGCCCAAAAGGAAAAGAGAAGCCCACGAAGCCCAACTCTGCAACTCTGCAACAATCACGCGCGCCCTTACCGCTTCTATCGCCGCCAACAAACATAAGCGTGCATAATCGCTTTGATGTTCTTGGAAGTAGCAGCATCTCATGCAACTAGAACATTCATCATTAGCTTTTTGTAACTCTTCTCTTTATAAAGACCTCTGCTTGTAATCCAATTTTGTAAAGGAAAAATATTGAATCTTTTCCTCTCTTTCAAGCTTTCTCTTCTACTTTCAATTTTAAGGTTTTAAAATTTAGTTTTCAACTAATTTATTCTAATATTATTTTCTATCATGATTGTAATCTAATATTTTCTAATATGATTTTATGTTTGGTATATATATATATATATTACACGCTTCCAACACGTACCCGCTTCTTAATTTTTTAAAAAAATTCGCTTCGGCGCTTCCAAACGCTTCGCTTCCGCGTACCCGCTTCCGATTCCATGCAGCTTAGCTTCACACTCTCTCTTCCTTCCCCAAACCATTTCCATAACAATTTCAAAAAAAAATGTTCCTTTCGAAAACCCTAACACTCCTCGTCTTCTCCGCCGTGACACTAACCATCACCAGTTTCCACAAAACCGTAGCCATAGGCGGATACGGCGGAGGAAGTAACACCAACAATATCTATTCCCCATGCTCCGACACCAGAATCCAAAGATCCGACGGATTCACATTCAGAATCACATTCTCTTCTCGTCCTTCTTTCTTCTTAAAGCAAACGGTTCTTCTCTCTCCCTGTGACCGTCGACTTTCCCTCGTCGCCATGAATTCACATATCCCAGCTTCACACCGAAGGACCT